TAATATAAATAAAAAATGAGCAGAAAATTACTATTTAAAAGATGACATTTTTCAACTCTTTCCACTAAGTTGAATCTAGTATTTGACTTTCTTTTTCATTGAACATAAATGTGAACTTAGAATCATGTCATAAATGATCGAATATTTATTGTTCTGCACTTTGGTTTTAAAATTAATTGCAAATTTCTCTATATTTAGAAAATAGTCATTTTTTCCACATTTTAACTTCTTAATTAAAATAAACTTTCTTGTCTACAAAAAGTAAACTGGATATATTTTCTTCACTGATCTTTTTAATGTGAATATCTAAATATCTGTTTTCTGTATTTCATAGGTGTGCACATTCCTATGATCATGAGTCTGACTCAAACTCAATTTATAGCAGATCATCCATTTCTGTTTGTTATGAAGTATAATCCAACAGGTACTGTTTTTGAAGAGTCTTTGGAAGTGCTACCTAAGTTAAACTACAAATAGCAATCTACATATCTGAAATCATTTTTCATTCAGTAGATATTTGTTGAGTACATGACATACAATGGGCATGGTATTTCAGTAGATGATGAGTGCCTGAAATAGGACAGTGGTAACAATGACTTTCTCTATAATGATTACAGGTAGTAACCACTTTGCATGCATATCTCTAAAGGTAGCAACATTTTAGCAGAGTTTGTATTTGACTAATAAAGATGCAGAAGCTCAAAGAAAGTTTATGTAGTTTGCCTAAGGTCATAGAACTGGAGCGTGGTAGAGTGGGGACTGAGGTTAACTCTCTGTCTTATCATGCCTCAATGGGGTGGAAACAGAGTTGTGAGTTGTAAGTGACCAGTTAGGCACCGAGGTCAACATACTTCCAAACCTACACCCTGGACAATTGGTGAAAGATGGTGCAGCTGCAAAAATAGGTGCAAAAGAGAATGTAGAAGACCAAGGGGGTTAGACCGGCATTTGACACAATGTCAACATATGGAAATCCAGATCGTCTTGATATGTGTTTTAGAACTTGCTCTTATGGCAAAAGAGAGACCAGAAATGTGAATACAATAGGGACATTTTCTTTAAGCTTGTATTTGGGACTCCTTGGCAGTCAGAATGTTGGTGTGAAAAGTATGAACACAGGAGAACAGAAATTATAGCTTATTCAGGCCGGATTTTGGCAAAATGCCTTGCAGAAAGTGTCAATATACCTAGAGGTTGAGAATGTGAACCCAGCTGTGAGATTTGGGGTAAAATTCCAGCTCAGTCAACACAGAATTAAGGCAAGAAAGCTTATCCTTTCTAAGCCACATTTCCTCAATTTCCTATTTAAACATAATGTTAGTACTTATCTCATAGAGTTAAACCAAATAATATATGAAGCCAGTGACAGTGTGCTTAGAAATGTATCAGTGTAATATAAAGGAGTGAATAAGTGAAGAAGAGAAATTTTTAAATTTCTCTATAATTACTGGGTTATATGAAAAAGAGATACAGTTAATCCCAGAATCTAAAGCTGTTAAACTAGTGATTTTGATATTGGCCCACTAAGATGTATTACAATCTCTTTTATAACTCTGTGAAACTAATGCTGAATGATCCTTTTTAAAGTTGTGTCTTACAAACAATGGAACAGCTTTACAATTGCTGAAGTTGCATTAACCCAAATTCAATTCCAACAGTCGATGTGTCAGTGTTAAAATAGTTTCTGAGTTTGTCATTTGATCTATATGCCTTTAACCTTTGGATAACTCTAATTTCTTACAATTAGTATATAATTATTGAGTGTGGAGTAAAGAAAGGAAAGAAGCTGCACTGGGCATCAATGCACAAGTAAATAGTGACTTTTAGAATAATTATGGTTGACTCTATTTTCCAAGCTGATGACTTGATATATTCTAAGGATATATAGTAGCATTTGGTAAAACAACAGTGAAAATTCAAATCCCAAAATACTCCACTTATGTATTTATTTGTGGTAATGTTTAACTATCAGGACTTAATGACAATTTCCACTGTTTCATGATCTTTTATTAAAAGGAAACTTTCCAAAGTAGAGTTACTCCTTTAAAGTAATCTTTAAAATGAATGGCCACTTATTTATTAGAAGATGCAAATTGTTGCAGTATAAAATGTAGAATGGGCTATTATCTTAAAACAATGTACATTTAGTGATTTATCTATTTTCTCTCACAAACAAACTAAGAAAGCATTGATATAATGAAGATGGGGATTTAGCATCACCGTAGTGAATTATGAAATAGGTTTGTGCTTTACAAAAAATATATTCAGTTGACAATTTCTGATGTATGAGGATAAATGACTTTAGGTTTAGAAAAAACAATTTTTATCAAGATTAAAAATTTTCATTTGGCCAAACACTTCCCTTGTGCAAACTCTATGTTTGGATTTCCTATTGGATGAGTTGTAAAATGTTTATCTAAAGTTCTATGTTAAACTTCCAAGAAAATGAGATTTTTGTTTTTTGGCCTTTTCTTGGCTGAGAGTGCAGACTCACTTTATAGACTTTGGGAAGAAAGTTGTGAACAATGCTACATGAAATGTACCATTATTGAGAAAGTAGTGCATCATGATCTTGAAACTGACATCCACACATAATAAATGTTATTGCATTTTGAACTTGTTAAGGTCTTTGGTCAAAGGGAGAAGCAGGCTTCAGGATATTAATTAAGAAATCTTTTATTCTAGCCATCAACTATGGTTATACTGTGTATTTTAATATTAATAGGTAAAAGTTGTTTCCAGCTGATGGGGATATTGTATATGTATTTTGATTAAATGTGGGGACACCTATTTGGGAAGGAGGTCGGAAGAGAAAAATGGAAGGAATAATGTTTTCTGCCTCAGCCTGCCTCCTAAATCCCTTGCTTTATTTCAAGGAACATTTCACGGATCTGCCCAGTTTAGTAATGACCAGATTGCTGACAGTATGATGACTCACCTCAAAATGTGGTTCTCTTTGGTGATAAAATCAGATTAAAAAGGCTGGGACAAATTACTTATATGTAGTGCTCTGTACTTCTGAATGTTTAACAATTTAAATTATGGTTTTCAACTGGGGAAGTAAAAAGGACTATAATGCAATGTGTATATGTATTAATATCCCATGATGAATGTATTCGTTATGTATCACAGAAGCATATTAATAAAAATGAATTCTTCCACAAACAATTCTGAAAAGCACTTTGTGCCATACCATCATGGAGATACAAGATTAACTGCTGATTCTTCTTTTGTGAAATATATTATTCATACTGGGAAAGTTATGTGCATAGTCCCTTCTATCTGAAAGATAGGACTGTTAATTTCCTTTTTTTCCCCAGAATAATTTTTAAGCAAGACATTATTGATTACAATTATTTATAAAAAGAAAAAATAAAATTGTTTGGAAACTACATCGATTTCTATGTTACTGGCTTTATTTTTTAAGCATAAATAATTAACTAAAAGGGTTTCTCTCATTACTTCAGATATATTTGAATGTTATTTTATTCAGCTTTAAAAGTATGCAAAATTTATTTTCTCACTTTTTTTTTTTGGTACTGGGGGATGAAACTCGGGACCTTGCGCTTGCGAGGCAGGTGCTGGAACCACTGAGCTAAATCCCCAGCCCCCTATTTTCTCACTTTTAAAAGTAAGTTTTATTACATCTAAGAGTATAAGAAATTTAAGGCAACATTTTATATTGATCCCAAGTTTAATCCCTTTCCCCAGTTGAAAAGAAAGGTGAATAAATTTGACATCATTCATTTCTGCTGTGTCCTCTATTTCTTATTTCCTTTTGACTTGCAAACACAGAATGGCTGGAAACAGGTGTTTGCTTTCATGTTCCATACTATATCATCTAGCTGAGGATTTGAAAGTTCTAGTGATACAAAAATATTGTCTTTAGCAGTAAAGTAAGCTTTGATTCAGACCGAAGGAGGAGATCAGGGAAGCTGCACTTTTAACCCTGAGGCGTACACTCCCTGCATAAAAAGATGACTGCTGATGTTTTAGATTTTAGATTCACCATTTTATTATGCTATGTTTGCCTGACTGGGTCTCTATATTTAGAAGAACACCATTCTCTTCACTGTATTTTTTCTTTCCTATGTGAAAAAGAAGACTAATGCATTTTCCATGACAAGCTGTTGTAGGTGTTAATTTGTTTCATAAATTACTAGAAAATGATTAATAATGATCTAATTATGTATTTTAGACAAAAGAGAGGACTTATTATTAGATACTGCCTATAGAGAAAAAAGACTGAATGATTGTTAAAATATTAAGAAAAAGTAATTATTGTCCTTTTTTCTAGAAATTTTGAAAATATGGTTTCTTTCCTAGAATCAATTTTGTTTATGGGAAGAGTGACAAATCCTGACACCCAAAAGATGAAAGGAAGAGATTTAGATTCACTGTGAATGAAAACACAGCTCAAGAATACAAGACAAATCCTGGAAAATTATTGATTGGCAAAATACCATGCTTTGAAAATATTTTCTTTGTATCATTTTTTGTTTATAACTCTTCCCATATAAATCTCTATTAATGTAGTTCTGTATTAATGGTGATGGGAAATTAGATATGTATTTGTTTCTGTTCTTTCTATATGTTTCATAAATCCTATATACATCCAAATCAATGAGCTTACATAAAATAAAATGATGTTAGATAAAATACAGTTACTATTAATTTATATGCTAATCACACATATGTGGCATACATTTCTTGTTCTTTCTTACTAAAGGAAGTGGTGAAAAAACATAGTTTATTGATTTGGAAGAAGAGAATATAAAGTTCAAGTTAGAGAAGAACAATTTTGCTCAGGTGTTGCTCAATTTCCTGTTTCCCTTGAACTGACAGATACCTTCTTCTCCTATGTATTACATATCACTCAGCCATTCAACTCACACATTTGTGCTCTCACCATGTTTCAGGGAATGGAGATATCCCAGTGAACAAAGTGGACATGGTGTCTTCTCTCATGCAGCTCACATTTTATTGGTGGCAAGACAGAAAGTAATCCAGTAAACAAGTTAATTTTAAGTGGTTACAATTGTTGGCATAAATAAGACAAAATAAGGGAATAATATGGATTTTAATAATTAAGATCCTTTAATTAGGTAATGCTGAAGTTTTGGGTTGAGTATATGTTCTATGTTGGGCACAGTGGTACATACATAATAGGATCAAGAGTTTGAGGTCAGCCAGCAACATAGATAGACCTGAGCTCTCAAAAGAACACATGTTCTTAAATGTTTTCCTAATGCATTTGCTTCTCTTCAGTAAGATTAGTTAAATGTTTAATCTCTGCCTCAAGTTCCCTATTATCAAACCTATTTGCATTATGTGGAAGTTACAGTTAATTTTTCTTATATTTCATGCTCTTCCACTGGCCTACGTTCTTTGACTAAAAAGGATAATTTAAGCTCCTTGTGAAAGACAGAGTAGCTGTCTAGTTGGGTTCATGCTGAAAATATTCTTTTACCCTGTTTTAGGACCATAGATGCCAAAGCACTTCCCAAATTAGCACCTTCAGTCTTCATCTTCTGTTGCAATTAACTCAGTATTTCTATAACATGAAGGTTATGATGCCTGAGATATATTTATAAAATATATATCTATTTATGAAAGAAAATAAATATGAAATAATTTGTAACAAGGAATGATTGAGAAATTTTTAGAATTCACAAGTAGTACATAATCTATTTGAGATAAAAATATTGACAATTTAATAGCCCTAATGAAGTCTATCTAGTATGTCACATATCACATATTTTTTCTTCTTGAGCCAAAATTGTCATTCAGGTTGTAGAAGAATTGAGTAAAACTGACAATATATAGTTTTAATTCAGATCATATGGTAGAGGTGTCTGCTACATCAAGCTGTGGGAACCAAGAGGTCAAAATCTTGAGATCAGGAACAATTTCTTTTTTGGGGTGAGGTTTATAAAATTCTCCTGAACTGGATAATAAAGATCTGGATATCTGGAAAAGATAGAAAAATTTAGGCAGTTTTCATGAGAATTCAGTGCTTTGGACTTTTGAAAATAAAACATTTTCACATAGCACATTCTTGACTGTTGGGATTCATTTTATGAGGGACCCAGATAGTGGATCAGGTTCAGACTGGTTCCCGTGCATCTGGTGAGAAGTCGGGCTACTTTAACCTGTTTGCTGCTAGGAGTAGTTTTCCCCTCCCTCACTTTCTTCTGCCTCTTTCCCCTCAGTATCTTATGTGATAATCTCTAAGCCTGAAGTAGAAATTCAAGGGGCAAAAAAAATCTATTTTGTTTTTTTGATGCCTCAGATGTTCACCCTGATGGTAAATATAAAGGAGATGAAAGAGGTGATACATTACACTGTCGAACATTATACCTCTCGGCTTGTCACCTCAATGCTCTGGGGCTTCAGGGTCCTCACCTGTACCATGAAGGGCCAGACAAGTCCTATTGAAAATCTTTATTCTAAAGTTATATGATTGTAAACCTTGGACTTTTCAGCAAAGCAACACCTTTGAAATAATGCCTTTTGAGTCATTATTGTGTATAAGCAGTGTCTTTCCATCTTTCCACAAAACAAAATAAATCTGAGAATGCACTTCTCGTTAGGACCTTGGTCCATTATGTTATCTTTATTTGTAGTTTTCTCTTTAATTTTGAAATTTTATTTTTATAGACAGAAAAGCTTACTACTGTGGCAGAGACCTTTATCTATTAAAGGTTTCTGACCGTAAATTCACAGTGCAGAGTTGTGGTGGGCAGTGGCAGACTTGCCAGGATTTTATTTCCTTCCTCCTTGGATTTCTCCAGCTGGAGCCTGATTCTCATCAGCAGAGGGTAAGTCAAGGTGAGTGTGTCACTTGTGAGCTCACATGATTAAGAAACAAGTGTCCCTCTCTGATAGATCTCTTTTCCTGTGTGGTCTAGATGTCAGTGCAAGGTGACCCTGTAAGCCATATTTAGAAGCTGACAGATCTTCTGTTAGCCCCAGTTCATCCATGATTCTCTGTAACAGAGCCCCTTTGCAGCCTTCTCTAAAGACAACCAGGAATACCTGCACTGGACTGTGAGTGAGCAAAGTTATATTTACATGACACTTGAGGGATTATATGTGAAAAGAGTTAATTTAATACATTTAACAGGATGTTTCTATAACACAAATTACATAGCATTATTTGAAGTTGGACAGTAGTACCCACAACAGACTTAGCAGGCTGGAAAGGAGAAGAGCTAAGCTGCAAAAATATTTGGTAAAATTGTCTATGGTAGCTTGGAAAGTGAATACTGGCCTAGTATCCACCTAGACACTACCTATCACTTCTGTAGAACTTGGTAGACTTCTTTCTGAACTTGTTTTTAGCAGTGGGCTATGAACAGAATTACTTCATGCTGTGTCAGTTAGAAAGCAAATTTGCCTAGATTTATCGTGTCCTCTATGTTAGTTGAATATCAGCATTTGGGTGATAATGGAAGCCTTGTATAGAACAGAGCAGAGGCTTTGTCTGTTATGGTCCCTGAATGATTGCGTAGGTCACAGTGATCCTATTTTCTGTGTCAACATCATACGTAGGACTCTACTATGCAAGAAATATACTGTATGGTACTAGGCCATCGGAACTAGATAGCTAGTACTCAGCAAAACAATACAACTATGTTCTTAGCTCATACTTTATATGTAGTATATTTTCTCATTCTGGCGTTGGACACCTGTTAAGATAATATTCTGAAAATTTTTTCCAATTTGCATTATTCTGTGAAAGAAGTTTAGGAATGATATTGCTTTGTATTTTCCCATCAAACCACTCATATCCACCATAATAATGTACCTTCTTCACCAGAAGAAAAGAAATAACATAGAGTACAGAAAACCCACTAATGGAGTGCTTTTCTGACTGTCCGATAGCTCTCTTGGTTGACACTATTTACATAATTTTTAAAAAGTAGCTTTCTCCTGAGAGTTACTCACCTGTGTGAGTGTGCACCTGCGTGTGTGCTGGCAATAAGATACCTTATTTAAAGATTTCTTTAAAATAGAGTTTTGACTAATAAAAAATTATGCATACTTGCAAGGGATGAAGACAAAGTCTTCTTAATATTTAAAAGCATATGCTTAAATTCCCCATGGAAAAGTACATAAGTAAAGGTGATCAAAGAAAGTTCTCAACAGAATCTGTAGAGACCAAAACAAATTTTCCTTTGGATTATATATACAGATTAGATTTGAATTATTTGGTTAGTCATAACTGCATGACACTATTTATATTTGTGTACCCATGAAAATATTCAGAGCAAAATTTCTTGTAATAAGTTTCCTACTTTATAATCCTCAATAGCTTATATTTAGAGAGAGCTCACTATTTTGAGTAATACATATATCTTAGATGGTCTTCAAGTCTGTTTTGCACCCTTTATAAAATGAGGAAATTTATTCCAAAAGGTTAAGAAGGCTTACCCAAGGAGTACATCTAGTAAATGGTAGAACTGGTATTTGAATTTTGAGTCTTTGACTTTAACCCTTTAGTGTTAATCAAGGAACCAGTAGTTCTCACACACTGACACGCATCAGAATCCTTAGAAGGGCATATACAGATGTGTGGGTCCCAATCCCCAAGTTTCTGATTTGGCAGGTGTGGGTTAGGTCTTCAGTATTTGCATTTCTGACAACTTCCCAGTCCAGCAAACACTGCTAGTCTGGGAACTGCAACTTAAGAACTACTGAAATGAGGCACAGTATAGTGTTTCCTTTTTTTGATCAATTTGTATATTATACTCAAAATGATCTAATAATAAAACATAAAAGAACCCATCAGAGCCAGTGAAGTAAGAAGCTAATGAGAATATTACATGAAAAATCCAAATAAAAAAGGCAAATATAAAGAGGATGAGTCCTCACTGCAGGAGGAAAAAGAAAAGCCACTATTAGGCCAATATTCAAAGCCAACTTTCAAAGACTCCCATAGTTTCATCCTGCATTTCTCATCTTGTTGGTCATCCAATACAATCTTAATCTCACTTGTTGAATGACTGTTTAAGCTGCTTTCTCTGCTGGGGGATGGTTTTCTTTCCCCATCTACAAAATCTGTTCATAGAAGCTCTACAAAAATTAGGCAGTTTTTGCTTCAAGACTAAGATCAAATATTTCCCCTGCTAAAAAAGCCACCCAAGATGTTCTCGATATCTAGCTCTTTCCATCAACATTCTCCTCCCATCTCATAATAATCCTCTGTGTGAGCAGCTCATCTCAGAACAAACCCAGGACAAATTCTAACTTGTTTGAACTGCACCATGATGAGTTATTACTCATCTTTCTGGCTCACATAGGATCTGGGGCTGCACACACCCTGGCAGTTGCACGATGAAGGGTCACTGAATTAGAATTGTCAAAAATAAAATCAGATCAAATTAGGATAAAATATAAAAGTGTATTGTGATACAAAGGTAGATTGTGATCATGGGAATCTCCATGTAGTA